GTCAACAGCCTCACACCATGCACCAGTATCACCCAGACCACCCAGCCTATGTCCACAGGCCAAGGCTGCAAGCCATGTCCATCCGGCCGGGGTCTCTAGGTATCGAGTTCTCTGTTCACAGAGGCCCAGGAAGAGCTACGGGGGTATTCCTTTTGTCCCCCACTTTCCTCTCGCAATAGTGTCCCTGTTTGGAGGCTCCTCTTCAGCATGAGCCAGAGAGACTTGGTGAAGCACCCTGATCCTGGGAACAAATGAAGCCATTAAAGTGGTCGGAGGCAGCTGGCCAAGACACACCTGAAGCCGTTCTTGTCTAAATCCCTTCACCTGCTTTCTATGGGGGCCCACGGTGGGGGTGGGGGGGCCCTTGAGACGCTGGCATCACACCACCCCCTCCCTCCAGGAGGGGCCCCAAGTATGCTTCCCAGGCAACAGGTGCTTTTTGCACTGGCTATGATGTGAGGGAAGCTCCAGGCAAATGTGAGCGTCCAAAGGAATCAGAATTTCAGCCTGGGTACCAAATGGCTGCATGGCTTTTGACAGTTCTTGCCCTGGGTTTCCTTCCTCATCTCTAAGGTTCCTTCAGGCCCCAAATGCCTGACTCTGCCCTTTCATGTCACTTCTCTACCCAGATGCACCCAACTGCCGCCATGTTGCATCTAGACCATTGTTTTGTGAACGTTCTTAAGACATGTGTGTCCATGTGTCCATGCTTTGCATGTCTGTTGGATGTGCCTGAAGAACTTGATTGTGGAGGGAAGGGGGCTGATCCATCTTCTCTCAGCCACAAGCTTGAATGAAAAGAACACCCCATTTTCTTGCTAAAATTGACAGAAGGGGACTTGAGGGCTGCCTGCCCACCTGCACAAGGCTATGCATCTGCCCATCAAACCACAGCCTGGTTATGTTGGCAGAAGGGAGCAGGTCAAACGAGGTTTTGTCCCAAGTGGATGTCCCAAGTCGTGAATCTTGGTGATTTCTTAAGATTGACTGCCACATGCAGTGCCCTTTGGAGAGCAATTATTGCCACTGAATGCAGGAGCAAAGGGAGCTGTGGGGTGGAGGGTCTGACCCCCTTAGAGGCAGGTCAGGTGGTGCCTCTTAGAGGTACCAAACATGAAGGAAGTCAGCTGCCCTGGCATGCACGAATAGCCAAGGTGGGAAAGTGTTCCTGCTTGCTTTGTCTCAGGCACTGCGACAACAGAATTATCTTCTCTCCTCTCAGCCCCTGGGGGCTGTAACTGGCAGAGCCACCTGTGACTGCCCCTGAAGCCTCAGCTCCCCTCTCTGCCTCAGTGTATACTCCAGGAAGAAGTGATTGTGTCTGCTTTGTTCACTGATGTACCTCCCATGCATCTGGCACATAGTAGGTACAGGGAGCATCTGGCACGTGGTAGGGACTAATAAATAGTCATTAACTAAAGGTGGGACTCCCCAAGATAGTGGGAGCGGTCCATCCCAGTGTATTGAGCCATGGGGGCTGGGTGGCTTGGGGCCTGGGTACTCTGATACTGTACGCAGGGACTTGGCTCTGTGCATCAAAACAGTCTGCCCTAAGGAATGACTTAATCCTCTCTGTCCCCATGCAGCCTGCCCTTCTCTGACCTTGGCCTGGTTGGAAGTCAAAGCTCCTTGGGGTGCCCCTCTCCCCACTCCTTTGGCCTTGGGAGGCGTGCCTCCATGCCTTCTTCTCCTTCTCTACCCAACTTCATAGCCCTGGTTGCCACCCCAGCCCAGTCTCCTTGAAATTCACCACAGCCAAGGGCCTCCATGTCACCTAGGGGATGGGAGAGACCACCCTGAGCAGGATGGGCAGGGAACAGGGAAATCACAGAGTTTGGCCTCCCAACCTGGGGCACCAGAGCACACACCATAGTTCTTGATCCAGCACTTCCCAAAACTTCAAGAAAATTCCTCCGGACAGACCCAGTAACATTGAGTTGGAGAGACCCTGGAGAATCGCTGAACAGAGACAAATATGTAGCTCTTCTCTAAACTAGAGAACCTAGGGGAGCCTGGGTAGTTCAGCGTCCGACTCTTGATTTCGGCTCAGGTCATAGTCTCATGGTCATGAGATCAAGCCCAGTGTCGGGCTCTGTGCTGACAGAGTGGAGCCTGCTTGAGATTCTCTCTACCCGCCCCCCTCTCAAAATAAACTTTAAAAAATAAAAATAAAAAACTAGACAACCTAGCTTGGGTGAACTTCTGCCACATTCCATTTAGGGTGCTAGGAGGCAAGTTGGGGAGAAAGAAAAATACCCTTAACCCTCAGAGGTAAACCAGCCCCCAGATCACCAGAAAACCATAGCGGTGGAAAAATACACTGACCTGCAAGCCAAGCACAGAAGGTCTCAGGAAACAGGCATAAAGGGGTCAGTACTTGGGTGCAGTTTATCTGAGAAGCCTTCTTGGGGGTGAGTTTTGGGTGGAATTATAAACGAAGTGAAAATCAAAACAGAAAACTTCCCTTGGCAGAAAGGAAAGAAGAAGGTATTAATAGTCTCAAGTTCTGAGGCTTTAAAGGGGACGGTGACGCAGGCCGTCAGGGAGTCCGGGGTGTCCTAGGTATTCATGTCAATGTTGTTCACTTGGGAAAAATGTCACACTGAAGGTCAAAGGTCATAGACAAGGGAGTGAACCAGGAAGAGAAGTGAAAGACTTATCCATTTCCTTCTATGTCACCAAAGTCAGTGAGCGAGACAGTCCAGCTCTGGAAACAACAGTCCGAGTAGAAAAATTAGAGAGAGGAGGAATAGAAAGAAGTGGGCAACACTGGATGAGAGGCAAACGGAAACAAAATGTATGGGCAATGCCTGGGAATAGGGCTCCCAGGAGAGGCCATGGGGAAGAAAGGAATGATCCAGGAAGGAAGGCAGATAGGAGTCAGCTCCCACACAGGAAGCGTGATGGGGAAAAGCGGTGGTGGGACCCGTTCCCATGGGCATGGGCTAGGCACTCCCTAAGCCCTGACCCTCCACCGGCCTTTGTTCCATGGAGAGCTCTGAAGGGCTTACTCAGCACAGGTCAGGAAACAAATGCCTCTTCTCTGGGAGAAAAATTATCATGCAATGAATACAGAAAACAAAGACAATTATTTTTTCCACCCCAGATGCGTGCACCACCCGGCTGGGACCTAGGCACACTGGCAACCAGGTGAGAGAGCGCCTATGCTCCTCTTGCCCTGTATCAACAAAAGCTATGATTCATAGGTTCCCTGTGGAAACTGAGACTCTCAAACAATCTCTCGATGGAGGCGAGCCTCCCCCACCACCCCTCCCGCCTCAGCCCCAAGGAGGAAATAGCTCAGAGAACAGAGAGCCACCGCTCCAAGTGCCAAGCTGCCATTCCAGGCAGGTGAGAGTCTGCCAAGCCATCATCACATGTGTATCTCTGGAAGGACACCTGTGTGGGAAGATCATGGAATCTGGATCTGCTTCTCCATAGCTAGGCACCACAGGTTCTGCTCGATTTACCATTCAGGGGCTCAGTTTCAAGCAGACTGAATGCATTTCGGTTCCTCTCTCGCTGTGCTATCTCTCAAAACCACTTCAAGTAGCAAGAAGCCAGCCAGATCAAAGAAAATCGAACAGTTTCTCTGTCTGGCTTCCCCCTGCGGTAGAGGCAGGGAGATGAGGCACAAGAAAGGAGGAGATAAGGAGCTTGGAGACTTCCTATTGGTTTAGTCTGACGGGGAGGTGCAGCTCAGTCAACAAGATGAACAGGGGAAACAACACAGGTGTCTTGGGCCCCCTCCACGCTGCAACCACTGGAGCTCTTCTGGTGAAGATTGAGTGCCAGGGAGCAGGGGCCAGTCTGGGAGGCTTCTGGAATAAGGCAGCCTCAGACAGAGCTGGGGGGGTGGGTAGAGCTTTATAAACACTTTTATTGAAAAAGCACCTTTTTATACATTAATGTGCCTCAGTTCTGTCTTCCCAGCAGGACCACGGGCCTGTTACTAAAGAAAAAGAATGTATATTGTGTTCCTTTTGAATCCCCACCAGAATTGCCATGGGATGGGCTCTCTTCTCATCTGTGCTTGATGGTCCCAGAGGGAGAGAAGACTCACCAAGCATTCACTCAGCATTTGCACGCCCCTAGGCCTTGCAGAAGCTGTTTTCGCACATGAATCCTCATCACAGACCCCACTTCACAGATACCAGCACTGAGGCTCGGAGGAGGTTCGTGACTGGCCCAGGGTGCCGCAACTAGTAAGTGGCGGGCCGGGATTCAAACCTATCTCGGTCCACCCACAACCTTCCCCAGCAGACAGAGGGTCTGTTCCCCAGAGCACCATAGGGGAACAGACAGGACGTACGTGTGCGTGCATGCACCAGCTCCTGCTCCAGAAGGTCAGGTGTGACCTGCACAACGGAGAGGGCAGCTTCTGAGGAAAAGAAAGGGGCAATCAAAACCGGGTGCTTTCCCAAGAAAGATGTGTGCAGCGGGGCCTTTCAGGACCTGGAAGGCCAGCTGCGGGAGGGGGCACAGGCGGTAATTCCCAAGGAAATGCTCAGGAACAGGACGCCCAGGCCAAGGAAGAAGGCCTGGGAAACGGGGAAGGGGAATCGCAGTCACTTGTTTTGACACACAATGTTTGCACAGGAGGGAGTGGGTCCCAGGCCTAAGAAAGCGGTTTAGAAATGAGGTGGTGTTTTTAAAGCCCATTAGGAGATGCATGATTAGGACATGACTGAAAGCAATTAGCGTGCCTCTCATTCGTCTGCTGATCAAGTTGCGACTGGAAAGCAGTTTCCACGTGGGGGAGGGATGCCAGGGGAACCAACCAGTGGCCTTGCCGGTGTTTCCGAGGGGCGCTGAGGGTGAGCTCAGGGTTGGCGAATGCCTGGGGGATGCCATCAGAGGCCTCCATCAGCAGTGCCCGCCCCTCCCCGAGACCCATAAAAGCCCTGGCGGCCCGGGGCGCCCCAGATGCCCGGTCTCTTCCATCCCCCTTCACGCGCACCCGTGTCGGGAGCTCTCGTTGCCAGCCTCGCTCAGCCACCATGTCCAGGCAGTCCAGCATCACCTTCCAGACCGGCAGCCGCAGGGGCTTCAGCACAGCCTCGGCCACCACCCCTGCCACCGGCCGCTCCCGCTTCAGCTCCGTCTCCGTGGCCCGCTCCACGGGAGGCAGCGCGGGGCTGGGAAGAATGAGCAGCACTGGGGCAGGCTTCGGGAGCCGCAGCCTCTACAACCTGGGGGGCACCAGGCGGGTCTCCATCGGGGGGTGCGGCGGCAGCTTCCGGAGTGGCTTTGGCGGCAGGGCCGGCAGCGGGTTTGGGGTCGCCAGTGGATTTGGCAATGGGGGCGGAGCCGGAGGAGGCTATGGGGCCTCGGGCTTCCCTGTCTGCCCCCCTGGAGGCATCCAAGAGGTCACCGTCAACCAGAGCCTCCTGACTCCCCTCAACCTACAAATCGACCCCTCCATCCAGCGGGTGCGGAAAGAGGAGCGGGAGCAGATCAAGACCCTCAACAACAAGTTCGCCTCCTTCATTGACAAGGTGAGGCGGGGGCTGCATCTGTGCCATTGGGTCCGGGTAGCAGGAACTCTTGGACAGGCCCCCACCAGGACACCCTATGGAAGAGCCGTCCGCTGGACAGGTCCCTTGCGAGTGGGGCCAGATCACCCCACAGGTCCTTGTGGAAATTTCCCTCATCCTCCCTGGGAGCCACCTGGCTGGTTCAGCCAACTCTGAAGGAAGAGTTAACTTGTTCTCCACAGGAAGTTTCCACTGAGCAAACTAACCTAACCCAGAGCAAGTGTTGTCCAGACCCTCAACCCAAGAGTAGAGTCTCCCCAAAGAGACCTCTGAGCTGAGCACACCAGTTCTATGGAAGCCCCAGAGAACTGTGGGGGTAGCTTCAAGGGCTCTCTCATTTCCATTTGGAGATGTCAATTATATAGCTGACAGATGGGTATCAGGTAAAAAGCATATTTTTCTTCTCCCCCTTATTAACTGGAGGGTCTGGCTCTGCCTCCCCAGTTTCTCAAGATTTCCTGCTCCCTCCCTGCAGGTGCGGTTCCTGGAGCAGCAGAACAAGGTCTTGGAGACCAAGTGGGAGCTCCTCCAAGAGCAGGGCTCCAAGACGGTGAGGCAGAACCTGGAGCCCTTCTTCGAGGCCTACATCAATGACCTCCGCCGGCAGCTGGACAGCGTCACCACTGAGAGGGGCAGGCTGGACGCTGAGCTGAGGAATATGCAGGATATTGTGGAAGATTTCAAAGTCAGGTAAGTGGGGGATGGGCTCCTGGTCACACACAGTCATCCCAGGGCTCCTATTTATAAGGACCAGCTGGGTGCAAAGGAGCCAATGCCAGTGCCAGCAGGGTGATTTGGAACCTGCAGTCAATATCCCGTGAGATGAAGACAGTATGGTGTGGGATAACAAACGGACTCCCATCTCATGCATCACTATTAACAAGAAGTCTATTTTAACTGCCCACATGACCTCAAAGGGATGTGTGCATCATCAAACACAACATTGCTACTCTGGAAAGCATAATACTATTTCACAGCCAGCATATTCTTTAGTTCTGCTGGATGTGGGCTCTACTATTGAAATGGTGCATTTCCAGGGCAAATGCTTTTGAGTGTAAACAAGGCGATCCTCCTGGGGGAGGCAAAATTTCACTGGCCATCATCCAGGCTGCAGTACTTGAGGTATCCAACAAAAAGGGATGATCCTCCCTAACCCTTTAGCTGGCTTACCCTTGGCTTCTGAGGTGGAGCTACTACTCTACTTACTAAAAGCATACTACTTACACAGCTGCTCTGAGGTTTGGTGAAAATTCATCAGAATCTTCCAGAACAGTTTCCTGAACAGACAAATTTTACCTCATAAAATTAGTTTTTTTTCTTTCAGAGAGAGAACAAGCAGGGGAGGGGGCAAAGGGAGAGAGGAGAGATAATCTTAAGCCCGACGCGGGGCTCCATCCCACAACCCTGGGATCGTGATCTGAACTGAAATCAAGAGTCAGATGCTCAACTGACTAAGCCACTCAGGCACCCCTACCCCACAAAATTTTTTTAAATATTGGAATTGTGCATCTCTAAGACGATGGAGTTGCATAAGTACACATTTCTATTCCTATAAGTTCCACGCTCACCTTCTAGTCTTACAAAAGAAAGAAGAAAAAAAAACTTCTGGCAGAAGAAATGATTTCCCCTTTTATAGAAGGAGAAATAGAGGTTAAGTGAATCACCCGAAGTCATACACAGGTCAGTGGAAGAGCTGGAAAGGCTTTGAGGTCTCTGAACTCTTGCTACACCAGAAGCAAGGGAAGATTTCAGCCTGGAAGAATTCAACCGAACACTTGCTCAACATCACGCCTCCTCTTCTCTGTGCTTACAGGTACGAGGATGAAATTAACAAGCGCACCACTGCTGAGAATGAGTTTGTGGCCCTGAAGAAGGTAGGTGGAAAAGTCTCTCAAGGGAGAAGATTCGAAACTGAATCTTGGAGTGTGGGGTGACTCAACCCTTGGGACTCCCAAGAAATGTCCCATAACCCTTGACAGTATCTGGAGAGCTCAAACCTGCCAAAAGGCTCCCTCTGTATTTATGGTCCCACTGACCCTGCTTGGGTTTCTGTGAGCTCAGGGAACTCAAGCTCCCATTCTTTGCAGTAGCCCACCCCAACCCCAAACCCCAGACTCAGAGTTTGCTAAAATCCAACCTGGAAGGGCCAGGGAGGAGTCCGTCCAACTTCTTCTGGACTCACTGCTTGGGGCTGTGGTGTCACAGAAGGATCCTGTGCTGTTGTTCTAGGACGTGGACTCAGCCTACATGAACAAGGTGGAACTGGAGGCCAAGGTCAATTCTCTGACAGACGAGATCAACTTCTTACGGATGCTCTTTGAGGCGGTAAGAGCCTGCAAATGTTTTTGTCCCTCCTAGGTGTGGAGCCTGGAAAGAAAAGGATGCTGCAGACAATGTTATCTATATAGGGACTCCACCCAGCATCTTGCCCAGATACTCTAAGATGGGGCTGGGGTGATCATGGGGACCTGGGAGAACTGCTTGAAATCTTGCCACCTTAAACCCTACTCCAGCTCCAAGGCTTCAAACCTCCACCCCATAGCATAGCAAGGAGGGAGTGCCAATTCTCGAATCCCAAGTCCCTGGGTAGCATTCCCACAGAATTAAGACCACCTCTCCCTCTCCCTTCCCAAAAAAGTTCAAAAATGCCAACTGCCCCTCAGCTCATTGGTCAGGGTGCTTCTTGCCCTCTGAAGATGCCTCATTCTCAGCACTGCCACTGTGAAGGCAGAGACCTGGGTCTTTAAAGGGGAGAGAGAAGTAGAGAGTGATGAAGTCACATTGTATGTGGGGCAACAGGGTCCTAAACCTCACTCTATCCTAAAGAAACATTTTATGCTGGCATATCAATCAACATGTCATATTCAGCTTAGTATAATTTGGACCAGAGAACACTGAGCCACCCTTCATGCCCAAGGAAAACACACAGGTAGGGGTCTTGGGAAGCTATGCTGGGGGACACACCCCCATCACACTGATCCGTGACCCAGAAGCTTCTCAGCGATTGGCATAGGAGTCCATAAATAGCTGTGAGTGCCCAGAGAAGGGTTGGAAGAACCCCTGCCAGGGATGCCAAAGAAAGGATTCCTGACCTAGAAGGGTAGTCAATTGTGTGATTTCAAGATCCCTCCTTTTCATGCCTTGGTGACGCTGCGTTTACTGGCTCTGCAGGAGCTGTCCCAGATGCAGACCCAGGTCAGTGACACATCTGTGGTCCTGTCCATGGACAACAACCGCAGCCTTGACCTGGACAGCATCATCGCTGAGGTCAAGGCTCAGTATGAGGACATTGCCAACCGCAGCCGGGCCGAGGCTGAGTCCTGGTACCAGACCAAGGTGAGTGTGGGCACCTCTATGATAGGTTCTGGGACTAGTGTTATCAGAAGCCCCAAATAAGCATGTAACTATTAGCCACAAACCTCGGGAAATACATGAGCATTTCTGTTTATTTCAACATGGCAGATGTGTCTGGTGCTATGCAAAGTCAACCTGAAATGCGTATGGAAACCCAACCATACACATTAATATGTGGTCAGGCAATGTTGAGTGCTCAGGACAGCCATCGTCCCCACGTCACTTATGATTTCGTTGGGGCTGGGTGAGACTCCGAAACAACCAAGAAATAGTCATAAAGTTATTTCTAAATGGCTTATTCATTCGACACATGTATGTCAAGTAGGGTTACAGAGTTGTAACTAAATAAACTGCAAACAGTTTATTTTTGGTGTGAGAGACCATGAAGTAAATGGAAGGGGGGGGGGCGTCAAGAAAGGGAAAAGACCATGTTAATAAAAAGCCTCCAAGAAGAGGTGGGTCTTCAGTCCATTTGGAAGCATCCAGGGACAATAGCTTACCAAGGACGGAGATGTTATTTAAGGCTGAATAAGAAGTCCTGTGGGGCTAGAAGGCAGAAATGGGCACTTAGCCAAGCAAGAGAGGTTGTATCAGGAAGAGGGGTGTGGGGATGACCATGGAGAGCTACTGTCCAAAGTCACAGATGGCCAGAAGAAGGTTTGGCTTTGGAGGGTGTGGTAGACTGGATAATCCAATCCATGAGATCAGCTCCCTGACAGATCCAGGCCCCTTTCAGACTCAGGAGCTCACTTGCATGTGGCATTCCATCTTTTGCCACGCTCAGTGCACTGCCTTAGCCCCTATCCCTGCAACGTGGTAGGAAGGAAGGAAGAGGGTGTCAGGTGCCACGTGTGCACAGAGTGGAGGCAGAGACAGACAGTGAGTGGAGGTGGGATGCGCTTAAGCTGAAATTCACAGTAGCTGATTTACAGTGAACAATTCTCTTTGGGGGCGGGGCCTGTTGTTCCCTTTAACCGTGTATATCTAGAAACAGAGCAGCTGGGCCACTCAGCGCTTTCAAAGCCAGACAGATCCTCCTTCCAGCAGGGACTCTTCTTCCTTGGTAAAGGTGTGGGCAAGAGACAGGGGGCGTTTGTTTCTCCTAAATGAGTGCATCCTGGATATGCACCACCAGATGGAGAGCTCCCTCAGATGCGGGATTTTGTTACAAAGTCTTCAGAACTGTGCCCCCCAGCCCGGCTCCATCCAACACGGATTCCCTGCAGCACACCCCTGCTCCCCCAGCACTGACATCTGGAGGGCTACCAAAATTCATGGTCACATTGGTCTGGATGTATGCCCCTTGACTGAAAGCCCCAAGGACAGTGACCAAGTCACCTTCCCACTCCTACAGTTCACCATGCTCCTTCCTGCTGTAGGGTCTTCACACAGGCTATTTCCCCTGTCTGGAATGTTTTCTCCCCAGCCTGTGACTTAGGTCACCCCTTTCCATCTTTCAACATGAAGCCGGAGCACCCCCATCTTTGGAAGGACTTCCCTGGGCCCATCCCCACAACTTCTATATCTGGGTCAGATTCCTTTGTTACACTCCCCTGTTCACTTCCTAAGGGGAACTTATCCCAATTTGGAAATATCAACTCAATAATATACTAATTTATTTAAGGTCTATCTCCCCCAATAAACTCTAAGCAAGGGTCTGATTATGCTCTCTTTGATATTCCCAGAGCCTAGCACATGCCTGGCAAGTAGATGTGCCTAAGAAGTAGCACCTCAGTGAATGAGCGAGGGAATGTGTGAATGATCAGTGAATGGGTGGGCCTGCTGGTGGCACTGAGAGCCAGGCTGTGCACACAGGGAGTGCCCAGCCCAGGCGTCTGATGCAGTGACTGAGTCTGCTCTAATTCCATCAGTACGAGGAGCTGCAGGTCACAGCGGGCCGGCATGGGGATGATCTCCGCAACACCAAGCAAGAGATCTCGGAGATGAACCGGATGATCCAGAGGCTGAGAGCCGAGATCGACAGCGTCAAGAAGCAGGTGGAGTTTGGGGAGAGCCGAGAGCTCCTTGCACACTCATTTCTCCTGGGTCGTTCTGCCATGCTTCCAGGACCCCTGCCCAAGAAGCACTGCACCTCCAGGGGCTGTCAGTAAAGCTCATGGCTTCCTCCTTTTCTTACAGTGTTCCAGCCTGCAAACGGCCATTGCTGACGCAGAACAGCGTGGAGAGCTGGCCCTCAAGGATGCGCGAGCCAAGCTAGTAGAGCTGGAGGAGGCCCTGCAAAAGGCCAAGCAAGACATGGCCCGGCTGCTGCGGGAGTACCAGGAGCTCATGAACGTGAAGCTGGCCCTGGATGTGGAGATTGCCACCTACCGCAAGCTGCTGGAGGGCGAGGAATGCAGGTGGGGGGCTATGCACCTGCTCTATTCCAGCTGCCGGAGCATTCCTAGGGGCTCGGGTTGCTGTGGCCCCCTTCTCTCCTGGAAAAGGGAGCAAAATGCAGGTGGAACTGGACTATGAGAAAGAAAAAGAAAACAGACATAATTTCTTTCCAGGCCAGTAAATCATTATTTGAAGTACAACTGCTTTGGGCACCTGTAGAAATCTAGGATCTGATCAGGTCCTAGGTAATCAAATTCTATCAAAGGAGAATTTGGGTTATGTGGCAGGTCTGGATATGTGGTATGAAAGGCTCTGGGCTGAGAATAAATTGTCCCGGGATCTGGGCGTACAGACCTACCACAAACTAGCCACATAACCTTAGGGAAGTCAGTATCCCTACTCTGGTCCTCAGTTTATTCAGTGATGGAATAAAGAGGCCAAACCATCAGAGCCCCAAAGCTCGGTGGGACCTTTGCGCTCTGCCAATTACCAGCTGTGTGACGGAGGGCAGATTACTTTACCATTCCATTCCTCATCTGTAAAATGACGATAACCATGGTTTCTATCTCGTACGTTATTCAGAGGGTTGAAACAAGGAAATGCACATAAAGTTCTTGGAACAATGCATGGTACATAGTAAGTGTTGAGAAAATCTTAGCAATCACTCAGTTTCGTGGCCAGAGATACGGGCTTTGGACTCAAATGAGTCTGGCTTCAAAACTGGGCAACTTTGTCAGCTTCTCTGTGCTTCCATTTCCCTATCCATCAAACTGAGATCATAATACCTACTTAATGGGGTCACTGAGAGAATTAAACAGCATAATGTAGGTAACAGGTCCTTTTAATGTTCTAAGTATGTGTTTATGAATGAATGCCAGTTCTGTCCTTAGCATGGTAAAGCAAAATTACTCTAGTTGCTACAATAATAGGCTGATTATTGTTATTGTTATGTTTATGACTCAGACTCTTCTCCACACCTATAATCACCTCAGCACTGCCCAGTGCATGACAACAGTCCATTGTTGAGAGAGAAATCTCCTTGTTCCTTAACAAGCCCTGCCTTTCCAACTGACCCTAGTGTATGATTAGCTTTAATTTTCTCCAGGTGTCTACCTAGTTTGAACCAAAAAAATGTGTCTTTGAGATTACAGGGTTTACTCCTAAGAACCTCAAACTCCACATTATTTCATTCATTAGATTATTGTTTTCAATACTACTAGTATTTAAATAATTTCAACCTCCATTACTTCTGCAATAAAAATAATAAAGGGTTCTTGAATGCACTTAATTGCAGAAATGTTGTTTCAAATGCCCACAAGCTGCTGGACGTAATAGTAACCTTCCTTCTCCCCCTTCCTCCCAACCAGGCTGAGTGGTGAGGGTGTTTCTCCAGTTAACATCTGTGAGTATGACATCCTCCCACGTCATTTGGTGTGCATGTGGTTGGGAACAGGCATCGTGTGGGAGGGTGGAGGGCGTGCATGTGGCATTGGAAGGGAGCCCACGAATCAGGTTCATTTTGAGGTCTGAGGTCTTAACTTCTTTAAAATGAGAGCCATATTGGGAGTCTTTTTTTTTTTAAGAGAAAGTGTGTGTGAGCATGCAAGGTGGGGAGGGGAGGAGAGAGCAAGACAGAGGGTCCAAAGCGGGCTCCCCACTGACATCAGAGAGCCCAGTGTGGGGCTGAACTCCAGAACCATGAGTTAATGACCTGAGCTGAAACCAAGAGTCAGATACTTAGCGGTCTGAGCCACTCAGGCACCCCTGCAATTTTTTTTTAAGAGAGAATCTTTGATGTCCCAAGTCTAACCTCTTTGCAAGTGAAAGACACCACAGAGAGGGTGATAGGAGGTCTGCTGGAACTCTTCTGCATGGGTTTAGAAAACACACAGCTTCCACCCCCCACCTCCCGGGATTCCACACCTTTCTTGCTGGGGGTGCAGGTCTAGCTCAGAGATGAACATTTAGCACAGACGGGATTTATGAAACCCTGGTCTGCCCTTGGCCCTCAAAGGGAGCTTTTGCACTGGGTCCAAGGTCCTTGCTGTAAGGCAGCCCCTTTCCGGAACAGTGTAGAGAGAAGCCCTACCACTCAGTTATGCTCTGCAGAGCATAAACGACAGAAGGTTACCAAGGTTTTCCAAGGTAGTGAGAGCACATAAGACAGGGCATTTGGGTGCCACTGCTCAGGAACAAGGAAGGGTGTTGGCAAGCTGGAATGGCCCGGCAGTGTGAAGAACACTCATTCACAGAGCTCAGTGCTGGCATCGTGAGGCTAACAGACATGACTTTCACAGTGTATGAGTGAGTTTGGTTTTCATTAATGCGGGATTCACAAAAGCACTGATTATTGTAACCGATGATTCTAGAAGCCAGAGCCCTCTGAACTACCCAGGTGTCCTCCCTCGCTGATACCCTTGGCTAGTGGCTCCAGAGACCCTCAAAGCCAGTTTTGGGGATGAATGGTATAACCTCTAAAGATTCTTTTCTCTTGAAAGCACCTGAAAGTCTCTGTTTGTTATCTAGGGCAGCAACACAGTACCACAAACTGAGTGGCTTAAAACAGAAATGTAGGGTCTCACGGTTCTAGAACTAGCAATTCAAAGCGGAGGCGTCGACAAGGCCTTGCTCCCTCTGACACTTGGAGGGGACTCCTTCCTCACCTCTTCCTAGCTTCCAGAGGTGGCTGTCAACTCTTGGTGTTCCTTGCCCTGCATCATTCTGATTGCTGTCTCTGTGATCACCTGGCCCTTTCTCTATGTGTCTGTCTTCACATGGATACCTTTCCTCTTCTTAGAAGGACACCAGTCATACTGGGGTAGTGCCCTCCCTAATGATTTTCTCTTAACTTGATTCTGTCTGCAAGGTCCCATTTCCATATAAGGTTTCATTCACAGCCATGTGTTAAGATTTCAACACATTTTTTTTGGAAGACACAACTCATTCTATAACAGAGTCCATTTTTATTTTAGTTTCCCTTCTGAAGAGCCCCAGATAGGGTACTGAATATTGAAGGTGATTGGGTGGTTATAAAAGTTAGGAAAAGACAGGTTGGAGGTAGAATGGGAGCAGAGTTGGCCAGCCAGTGGGTCATCTGTCCCTCAGTCTATCAAGATGACTCCAGCCCCACTCTGGGATTCAGGGTGTGGGGGCTGGGAACACTAAAGGAGGCATGTACATGCCATTGAGAAGGAAAGGAGACACCAGAGCCAGGCCCACGGAGAGAGACGGGGACAGAGCCACAGGGGAGTGTGATGGGATAGCGGCCTGGAGGACAGAAGTCTCCATTAAGTTCTGGAAGGAAGCGAGGCACCAAGTAGCAGAGGGGAGGCAGGAAGACATTCCAGACTGGAAGGCTGCCTGGCATTACAGCCCAGGGAAAACGAAGCTGAGCACAGGACAGAGATCTCACCAAGTGGGCAGGGAATAAAGCAGCCGCCTGACCAGACAACCCTATCCCCACCCCCACCCCCAGCCCCCACCCACAGACTTAAGGGCACAGGCCCTGACACCCTGGGTGTCTTCTCTCCTGCCCTTGATTCTGACTATGTCTCCTCTCCTCTGGCAGCTGTGGTCACCTCCACCGTTTCCAGCGGCTACGGCGGTGGTAGCAGCACTGGAGGTGGAAGCCTGGGTCTCGGTGGGGGCAGCGGCTACTCCTTCACCACCAGCACCGGGCACAACTTGGGTGCAGGCCTGGGTGGCTCCAGCTTCAGTGCCAGTAGCAGCCGGGGCCTCGGGGGCAGTGGCTCCAGTGTCAAGTTTGTCTCCACCACATCCTCCAGCCGGAAGAGCTACAAGCATTAAGTGCGGCCACCTCGCTTCCTCACCCCTGCCCTGAAGCCTGCCTGCTTGCAGACCTGGCCTGCCTGCACTCCCAGACAGGATACCTGGGTCCTTCTCCTTCTTCTCCCCTTCCACAAGGCCTGCCCGTGCTGCTGGGAAGGAAGCCTGGTGCCCTGGCTAAACCCCATTCCCCAACTTAAGCCAGCCTCTGCCCTCCTGGCAGTCCCCACAGTGCCCCTGTCCCCTCCCTGTGCCACTGCCGCCCTCCTTCAAGATTCACATTCAGCTTATCGTGCAGAGACCTCCCCCGCTTCAGCTCCTCCTTCCTTCTCCCCACCTTCCAGTTGCAGAGTTAGGGAGTCAGTGTTTTCCAGGCCATCTCAATGCCAGGTTGTCAGCCCCACCTGTCTCATGGTGCTTATGAGCTGCCTGCTGGGAGTGAGACACATTCCCTCCCTGGAATGTGTCTATTAAATGCATGTGGAATGTGTTCGGTGTCCATCCCTCTGTTTGGAATGGGGATGCAGTCCCCAGTGCACATCAGACCCTCCCCATTTCCCTCAGAACGGAGAATGCTGGACTCGGGAGATGGGAGGGATGGAGGGGGCACCAACTGCTGGCTAGACTCCTTCCTGGTCTTTCTGCCCATTTCCTCTGGCCTCATGCTGGGATGCCTTCCTTGAGAAGCCCAAGCCCCTGGGCAGAAGCTGTGTCCATCCTCCCTACTCTGTATGTCATTCAAGGCGATACCATCCCCTCCCAAAACCAGACTGTTTTCTGAGGACACTGACGTAGGGTGGGCGGCCCAGCCCTCCTCCAGCAAAGGGGCTGATTGTTCCCTGACAGCTTCAAACTTGCAGACCTGAGCAGAGAAATAACAGGCCAGGAGAGGAGTTAAAAGTCAGCCCTGGGGGCAATGCTTTCACCAAGCAGGGGAGCCATTTAGGCCCATAATTGCAGGCAGCAGTGAGACATCCAGGATGTCTAACCCACATTCCTGAGTTTAGTCTGCTGAACCCCTCCCATAAGGCCTGAGCCCGGCATCACCCAGACTAGGGACAGCCCATGTGGGCTCAGAGGAAGTGGGCTCCAGGCTCAGGACCACGCTAAGGACTGGTGGGAGCTAGGAACTGAGAGTCTGAACCACAATCAATGAGGGTGCTGTGCAAGAAGCTAAGTGGCAGGGGGGAGAGGCCATGAACCAAGACAAGAGAAGACGAATCTAAAACCAGGGGCTAAAATCAGGAAGGGCTGGGAGGGATGGCAGGAAGAAGAGAAATGACTCTGAGGGCAATTGTTAAATGTCCCTGGTCCTCACGGACGAGAGAAGACGAGGGGACAGGAATGTGGCAAGAAATCCTGTGCCTGCCACCCTCAGATAAGCCATCTCTCTTCCACCAGTGTCAGGTGCAAAGATCCAGAGTAACCTGCTGTCAGACCACTGCGCCCTAACATCGGCTCAGCAGGCATGAGCCACGTGACCTCAGCCAAGTTTCTCAATGACTCTATGCCTCAGTAGCTTCATGAGCAAAACAAGAATAATAACGGCTACCCCTGGTGCTGCATGGTGATTAAATGAGAAGACAGGTGTAAAGCAGCCACCTCTAGCAGCTGCTCAATACACATTGGCAATTATTATTGTCATCCACACTCACAAGGTTATTATGAGAATCAAGTGACATAACACTGGCAATAACCAACCACATGGCCTGGCACAAATGGAATCCTCAGTAAAGGAGGTTTCTTTTCCTTTCCCGGTGACAGGAAGGGCCTAATCAAGTTCAGAGTCTAAGACCTGGGAATCCAAAGAGAGGAGCAGCTGGGAAAGAGTGGGAGTGTCTGTAGCGTGAGCCTGAGAACCTGGGTGGGTGGGGGGCTCGGGACCTGGTCCTGAGCAGGACCTGGACCAGGCCTGGTCCTGCCCTGGGTAGGGTGTTCCCCATGATGATTAGGGGGCAGGAAGATGGGCTGTGACCAGACATGCCATTGAGATGAACTCAACAGAGTGGTCTTTGATGTTCTCCGGCCAAGCCCAGTTCTCGAAAGGCATAAAAGTGAAGGAGAGCCTGGGACAGCTAGACTTGGAAGGCTCCTCGTTCCTTTGATACTTTCGCTCCTCTGCCTCTTTGGCACCAGCTCCCACCATGACCCAACGATCTTCTGTCACCATCAAGTCAGGAGGCACTCGGAACTTCAGTGCTTCCTCGGCCAGCCTCCTCCCAGGCTGCCGGCCCAGCTTCAGCTCTGTCTCCGTCTCCCAGGGTGGAAAGAGCTTTGGGGGTGGCTTTGGGGGTGGCTTCGGGACCAGGAGCCTCCACAACTTTGGAGGCAGCAAGAGAATCTCCATCAGTGGAGGCTACCGCTCCAACCGGGCCAGCGGTGGGGGCGCTGGCTATGGGCTGGGTCTCGGAGGCATGGGCTACAGGGTTGGGGGAGCCTTCGGTGGGTATGGATTTGGAGCTGGGATGATGCCTGGCTCTGGGGGCATCCAGGAGGTCACCGTCAACCAAAGCCTCCTGACCCCCCTCCACCTGGAGATAGATCCCTCTCTCCAGCGGGTACGAAAGGAGGAGAGGGAACAGATCAAGACCCTCAACAACAAGTTTGCCTCCTTCATTGACAAGGTGAGAGGCAAGTGGTCCCCACTGGGAAAGTTGCTGGTGCCCAGGGTATGTGTCCTTTCTGTGCTTTTCTGAGGTCTACTGTGACTTGCCCAGGACCTGTGATCCTGGGGGCTGGGGAGACTGCCGGCCAGATGAAGGAGGGAGTGATTTCCCACCCTGTTGCGGTGGAAGCAGAAAAATGTTCATCTCTACACTCTAGAGCTGTCTGACCTACTGCAAGGACATTGTTCTTTTGATGGATAATGAATGTGTACTTGGCTTAAAATTAGACAGCAAAAATGGATCGTTTTGAAGGGAAAAGGACAAAGGAAAGAAAGGTTATGAGTTCAGTTCATGGAAGTGGGCTGGGGTCACTTCATCCTGTGCAGTTAATAGAGGCAGTTCCTCCTGTGGTGGCCTCCCTGGTGATTTGGGTATGTCTGTGACTGGCGAGGGGCCGGCTTTCCCACTTTTCTTCCGGTGAGAGCTAAGCTGTGATGTCAGCCCTGAGTGCACCCTGCTGGATGCCTGGACTCTTAGGGGTTTCCCCATGTCCAGGGAAAGAAGCTATTTTGTTTTGCACCACCACCGGTTTACATCTGAGCTGGTTGCTTTTGTTTGGGAAGAAGCTGTTCAAGGGTCTGGAAAGAAGAGTGCCAGACTCTTCCAGCCCAGGCTCTACTGCCTAACTTCTTGGGCCTTGGTTGGGTTGGACAGACAGACTCCAAGGTGACTGTGCAGGTCTAACAGGCTATGAAATGCTTCATCATATGGTCCCATATCTAACCAAAGGGACTGTTGAAGCAGTGCTTCTTGAGTTTTATCACCCATGCCAGCCCACTTGGCCTGGGGTTTGTACCAACAGATGTGAGATTTCCAGGAGGCCGGCTCTGAGGGGAACCGTGGGCCCTCCTTTTCTTGGTTTATCTGGAGGATAGTGGAGAAAAGGGGATGTGCTATGGAGGGACTTGGAGTCAGGATTGCCCTCCGGCCTGTGACAAAGGAAGAGAAAGGTGGGAAGGGGGAGTAGGGTGTTTGTTAGAGGCTCTCTGTAGGCACACTGCCATCTTCTCTGTTTGGGAGGCTCCTCTGTTCCTTCATTCTGAGACTGAGTGTCATTCCAGCTGCTCCCAAAGGAAGGACTTTGTTTAGCGAGAAAGTATTCACATATTCACAGGACTGCCTCCCAGACAAAGGAGCAGATGAGTGCAACTTAAGAAAACCAAATAAGTAGCACAAGACCACAAGGGACCTGGGTGCAGAGGGAGCTTGGCAAGGCCACACAGTTGGCTGTCGACATGGCTGGGATTGTGCCCAGTTCCCCTCAACGCGACGTTAGAGTGACCCATTTCAGCATTCTTGGACTGTATGGGCAACTGAGTTCAGATTCTAGATCTAGAGAAATCACGTAAGAAAGGAAGTGGACAGATTACATTTTCTGCCAAGAACCTCCTGCCCATTTAAGGGGAATCAAAATCCCACCCAGGAACATGGTGGTGGAGTGTTCTTTCCTTCAGCTACCACACATCAGCATGATTTGGTGTATATGGATGATTTCTAGCCTCTCTGGTCCTGGTCTTACTTCTCCCATCTCCAAACCAAGCCACCACCTGCCTCCCAGGCCATTGCACCAACATTTGGGTGGCTCTTGACATTCCAGGCTCCTTCCAGGATGAAGAAGAGGAGCCTGCTACCTGGACTCCAAGGTCTTTCAGGGCCTCTCTGCACTGTTGGGGGGTCCTGTAGCCCAGAGCCCTCTGGGGAAGCTGCACAGGGCAGCCCTCACAGTTTCTCTCCTCTGGCTGGGACAGGTGCGGTTCCTGGAGCAGCAGAACAAGGTCCTGGAGACCAAATGGAGCCTCCTGCAGGAGCATAAAACCACCAGGGCCAATATCGAGCCCATGTTTGAAGCCTACATCAGCAACCTGAGGCGGCAGCTGGACTGCCTGGGTGGAGAGCGGGCACGGCTAGAGACGGAGCTCAAGAACATGCAGGACGTGGTGGAAGACTTCAAGAACAAGTGAGTGGACCCTCCACCAGCTTCTGGGAGGTCCCTGCCCTGAGGCTCCTGGGAGGCCCTGCTCTCTAGAAGTGTCCAGTCCAGCGGAGAAAGGGGACACAGGCTCAGGGCAGTGAGATGGAATCAGAAAAAGCAAGGGGACCCTGTGGTCAAGATTGTTGAGGCTCTGGGGAGGGGTGGGGCTATAGAGGGTGGTAACTGACATGATCACAAACAGCAGGATTTGAACAACAATCTGGTAAAGTGTGCAGACAGGAAAGTAAGGCTCTGAGATAGCAACTATTTTATCCAATGTGATACAAGGGGCAACTCATGAGTTAGGACTGAAACCTCTAGAATCTCACCATCACATTTGTTCCACTCAGTCCCACGGCTAATTTGCACAATGTTTGGGCATCCACCCCAACCCTGGCCAAGGCCAGGATCAAAGCAAGAGGAGACCTATCTTCTGCCTCCTCCACGGAACCACACACACACACACACACACACACACACACACACCACTAAACGTGATGGCATGTTCATGCCTGTACATTCAAGCAGCTCCTTATTTTTATTGATTTCATTTATTTCTGATGTTCTTGGTCCAAACAAAATAAGTAATTTCGTAAGCAGTTTTGGTTATGCTTTGAATAATGTAATGAGAGTTCAGGTCTGAACTGAGTTGAAATGGTAGCCACTACCCGCATGCAGCTATTTTAATTTAAATTAATTAAAATTAAATAAAATTTGAATTTAGCTCCTCAGTCACACTAGCCACATCTCAAGTGCTCAGTTGCCACACATGGCTAACGGGCCCCATAGCCGATGCAGATATAGAGCATCTCTATTGTCGCAGAAAGTTCTACTGGACAACACTATAGACTCTAGAGTCAGTGGATTTAGAATCTTGGCTCAACTGCTTACTAACTGAATGATCTCAGACTCTCTGAACCCAGGTCCTTTGTCTGTTAAAGGGGATATTAATAGTGCCCACCTCATAGGGATTGAGAATATTATATCAAAACTTGCATATGAAATACTTGGTAGGGTGACCAGTGCCTGGCACATAGTAAGTGTTAACTATTTTTATTATAGAGATGATTAGGTATGTAATGATGCAGACATAGGCAAGAGAAACAATTGCAGATGGCTAATTTATAACATGTATGCAAACACGAGGTAACCGTGTTTCAGTCCAAGAAGGCTTCCCAGAGGAGGAGATAGAAAGGTGGAGAAGGAAAGAGACACAGGGGAGAACTACTGGGGCGGGCGGGCTGGGGATCTGTTGAAGAGCATGCTCCCGGCTGATGGACAGCCATGTTCCTGTGGCAGGTATCTAAGAGGCCTATGAAGGGAGAGTGACTGTGAGCTGGAAAACACAGAAAACAAGGACAGTTGCATGGAGTTAGGTGAAGAAAACATGTTCAGGAGCACCTGGGTGGCTCAGTCGGTTGGGCAACTGACCTCAGCTCAGGTCATGATCTCACAGTTTGTGGGCTGGAGCCCCACGTCGGGCTCTGTGCTGACAGCTCAGAACCTGGAGACTGCTTTGGATTCTGTGTCTCCCTCTCTGCCCCTCCCCTGCTCGTTCTCTGTCTCTCAAAAATAAGTGTTAAAAAATTAAAAAAAAAAAGAAAACATGTTCAGATTTAATTAAAAGGCAGCACAAGGAAGCAATAAGGGAAACCACAAACAGTTCTCCCAGAGGACTTGGGAGAAGGCATAGTATTGGAAATTCAATGGCAGGAAAGAGCTTCCCTCAGATCCTACTGGACAGCTGAGGCAACATCAAAGTGGGGAGATTCTGGTTATATACATAAGGCAGGATAGTGCTTGGTGATTTTAAAAAAATAAGGACAAGCCATTCAAAGATGAGAAAAAGCCTCTGAGAGGTTAAGTGACCTGCCCCTGGTGACTCAGCTGGTAGGTGGAGGAGATAAAGCCCCAACCCCAGCTGCCCAGAGCTGCTAAAAAGGGTGGGGTTCACTGATGCTCAGGAGGGTTGGGAGGAAAAGGATCACCTAGAGCAGAAGGGGAGCTTCCTTCCCAGAGGCCAGTGTCCCCTAGGGGGCGGGGCGAGTGGGGCTGCTCTCGAGGGCCAAACTGAAGAATGAGAAACCTGGGCAGCTGCTGGTGGGAGGGACTGCTTCCTCTCCATGGTTCAGTGCAACTAAGAACAGAGCGGCAAGGCCACATGAGGGCAACACAGGCCGCAGGAGCCAGCCAAGGCCTGGGACTGTCTGCCCTGGGTCAGACCATCCTCTCTGTTCTTCTCTTCTGTTTGGCTTGGGGCGATACCAAGGGGGTGAAAAAGGAGGCATGCTGGCCCCTTTATGCAGCCTCAGCCCTCTAAAGATCAGAGCCCTGAGAAATGCAATCTCAGGAGGAATGAGGGGGGTGACTTTGCTTCATTGTTGTTTTGGGTTTGAGTTTTGTTTGGGCAGAGGTGGTTGTGTGATTGATTTGGGATGGGAGTGGGGCATGTGTAACAGGGGAGCTATGCTCCAGTAGCACGTTCTCCATGTCCGTTCTGGAGACCCACACTATCTACCCACCTACAGCCCCCACTGTTTGACCTCACTCGCAGAACCCTGCTCCTAACACCAATCCACTTTTTTAAAATTGATTTATAATTAGCATACAATATTCTATTAGTTTCAGGTATACAACATGTTAATTCCATATTTTTATATGTTACAAAATGGTCACCGTTGACAACCCACTTCTTGATCCTTCCCGCAGGTACGAAGAAGAAATCAACAGGCGCACGGTAGCAGAGAACGAGTTTGTGGTGCTCAAGAAGGTAAGGGGACAGGGTTTCTCCCTCCTGACGCTGAAGCCCAGGTAGCCCCTTCTGGGAGTGACAGCTGACACTGAAGCCAGTGGCCTTACAAGTTTTAATCTGTGCAACTAATTTTGAGGCAGGTTTTACTTCATTTTTTAATGTTTTTTAAAGAGAGGGAGAGATTGTGTGTGGTGTGCACACTCATGGTTGCGTGTGCACGCATGTGCACGTGTGGGTGAGGGAGAGGCAGAGAGAAAGGGAGAGAGAATCTCAAACAGGCTCCATGCTGTCAGCGCAGAGCCAGATGTAGGGATCAATCCGACCAACTGTGAGATCATGACCCGAGCCAAAATTAAGAGCCAGACCCTTAACCAACTGAGCCACCCAGGGGCCCCAAAGCAGGTCTTACTTTAGAAGTGAGAAAACTCAGGCTCAGGCAGGTTAAGTAAATTGCCCAAGTTTACCCAGATCATCAGCAGTGAGTCAGGATCTGGGACTCCAAAGTCCCAGCTGTAAATCATGACACCAGCTCCTCCCCATGTGGAGTCCCTGTGGGGAGAAACAAGCAAAATGGACCCTGTGCTGAGCTGAGTCTCCAGGACATCAAGTCAGGCTCAGGAGGACAGGGGCAGGACAGGGATCAGCTCCATGGAGTTATGGATCTTTCTGCTCAGCGGGGGCAGGAAGAGGGAAGGGATACCAGCCAGAGCGGGGAGAATGGAGCAGCGGTGTGTAAGGTGCAGGGAGCTGCTGAGAGTGTGAGGAAGGGGGGAGGCCACGGAAGGTGTGGGGAGAGGCTGAGAGAGCCCAGAGGCAGCAGAGGCCCAAGGAGCCAGGATGGGGTTGACCTGATCACATGCAGGTGACAAAAGATATCTGTTCATGTGGCACCAGCTGATGAGTGAGTGGGCATTCCCCAAGAGCCCTGGTCCCCACAGAGTATGGGCCCTCCTGCAAGTTCCACTCCATATCCTGGAACAAAGAAACACCCTCATCCCCGGGAGATGAACTTCTCCAGCCTAACTCCCAGTCAGAGAGGCTGGCTGACCCACAAAGGATGGGATTCAGAGTGACAGCATGTTCTGTGCCCAGGACGTGGATGCTGCCTACATGAACAAGGTGGAGTTGGAGGCCAAGGTGGATGCCTTAATGGATGAAATCAACTTCCTGAGAGCTTTCTATGATGCGGTAAGCAGTGCCAGGTGCTCTCCCCACAAGCGTTGGAGGCTGGGGTCCTGGGCTGGGCACAGAGACTGACAACTCCTTCCTTCATCTTCTCTCTGCCCTCCACCCCATCCCTGGGCTGGAATTCATGGAACAGATGCTGCCTTCCCTACTAAGGAACAAAATGAGGTTCCCTAGGGCAGCTGGGGGCTCAGATGAGGTGAGAAATTCCACCTTGACCATTTGGACCAAACATGTCTGTTGGTCAGACAAAAAAAATCCCTATCATTGAATTATACGTGATTTCCACAGACATATCTGAGCAGCCAGGCTCACCCAGTCCAGCTCAGACTTATCAGCTACTCTTCCTAGAGAGGCTGTAGGGTGATGCAATTTCACAAACCAGGTCGCAATTAATGAGCCCTTGGGTGCTTCTAGAAGCACACAGCACAACTGCCTGGTTCTTCTGAAGACACATGTTGTCATGCACTGCTGTATGCCAGATACTGTTCTAGGGGCTACAGGGGCAGTGCTGAGCAGACACAACAAGGCGCCTACATTTTTGGAGCTTCTGTTACAGTAAGAGAGACAGGCAGCACAGAGAGGATCGAAAACTATACCATTTAAGGCATAGCAGGGGCAATGGAAAGAAACAACAAGGAACCGTAGCAGGTAGGAGGTGGGTGATAGTTGAAGAGAAACTGAAGAACTGAGGATCAGAGAATGCCAAGAGGAGGCCATGGTGGTTGGAGGAGAGTGAGTGAGGTAGAGTGGTAGAGATGGGGTCAGTGATGTCAAGGCAGGGGTGCAGGGTGCATTGTGTGCCTCCAAGTGGGCCTGGTAAGGACCCGTGATATGCCTGTGCATTGCATATGTTTGGTGCCCAGCAGAAGTTGGTCATGTTCTGGGAGCAGAAGCATGGGCTCCATGTAGTTGGACAGGCTCAATGACCACCCTGCAGCCCACATAAGGCACAAAGGCATCATTTTTCTCTTTTTTGTACTCACTTCAATGCTGACAGCTGCAAGCATGTGGGCTGAGACCCCCTGAGCTAGGTCAGCTATCAGAAAACTACTTGGGAAAAGCAGATTGTGAAACAACAATGAAGTAATAATTTCTTAAAGCAGGAAATACATGAGCGGGGAGAAGGGAGCAGCGGCGCTGTTTAATAAACAAAGGAAAGGAATAGTTTCACTTAGATTTCTGCTTTGGACCGATGACTCTCAGGTTTCAAAGTGTGTCAGAATCTTCTAGACATCTTGTTAAAACACCAGTTCTGATTCAGTAAGTCTAGGGTGGGACCCAAAATGTTGCACTTCGAGCAAGTTCCCAGGTGATGCTGCTGCTGCTGCTGCTGCTGCTGCTGCTGCTGCTGCTGGTCTGAGGATCCCATTTTGGGAACCACCACCTTAGATGATCCTGGAAAGTGATCATTAACAAACTGATTGTGGTTTACCTTTTCAAAAATCGTGTTATGTGGATATGAGTTGATTTAATCCTCATGGAAAGCATATGAAGCAATTCTAGGATGAGCCCCTCTGAGACTCAGAGAAGCCATCTAACCTGCTTGGCAGACCTGAGACTCGAATGTATTGTTCCGGTGCCCTTTCAGCTGTCTCGAGCTGATTTCCATTTCCCATCCCTGAAGGGAGGAAGGAGCCAAGTTGGGAAACAGGATTGAGATGCAGCAGAGTTTCTGGCTCCTCCTGACTCAGTGTTCTGTCATGAGAGGATTTCTTTTTCTGGTGTGAAAGGCTGTGTTTTCTCAGAACATGAGACATCCTGGCACTGACAGGTCACAGCAAGGTGCACTCCCTTGATAGTGGGAGTGACTTCTGGAGGATGTTGGCTAGAGTTACTGTGAGGCTGCTCTCTGCCTGCAGATGAGGTGATGATAAGGCTATGGCATAAACTCAGCCATCTTCCTAATGTGCCTCCCATCCCTTCGGGCCTAAACAAGGTGCTGCACCCCAACAGTGCAAGTGAGGTCCTTGATGCCGGGGTCTGTTCCCCTGGCCACCATCTCCCAACACACACACCCTGCTTCAGCTCTTTATTTTGGCCCCCAACACAGGAACTGGCTCAGCTTCAGGCCCAGATCTCAGAAACCTCCGTGGTGCTGTCCATGGACAACAACCGCAAGCTGGACCTAGACAGCATCATCTCTGAGGTCAAGGCCCAGTATGAGGACATCGCCAACCGCAGCCGGGCCGAGGCCGAGTCCTGGTACCAGATCAAGGTGAAGGGTCAAGGCCAAGTCCATGAAATAATCTTAGAGAACTGGGATTTCAAAGGCGAATTAGGTCAACAGCCTTGTCCTCTCAGGTGTCCCAGTCTGATGGGGTCAAAGGGATATGCGTTCAGCCTGGGGCTGTCCCTCCATCGGGAGCACCCCTTGGGCAGCACTGTCAGGACCTGAGGGAACAGCCAGATGCAGGCAGGAGGCGGTCAGTCCTCTGCCAGGGAGGAGGATAGACACACCTCCAATGCCCTGTGGAGGACAGCAAGGGACAGCTGGGTGGTACCACCCATCAGTGCCAGCAGGAGCAAGACAGGCAAGGTGGGAACAAGAGCAAGGCCTAGTCTCCTGGATCCAGAGAAGAGAGGTTCAGCTGGCAGTGGCTGAGGGACTGGGAGCAAAGGCTGGACATGGGCTACACAATAAGATCTTCCAGGTTAGAGCTGGGTGGGGGTCACAAATGTGAAAAAAGCTTTAAAATCAGAGAGTGACACGCACGCCTGTATGCTGCTGAGTTTCTGAGGATAAGACCCCTGATGTGGAGGGACTTCCAGGCACAGACAGGAAGGGTCCAGCTGTGGGCTGGAGCCCGCGGACATGGAGAGTGAAGGGCAGAGCCAAGAGACCATGCAGATGGAATTAGATGGAAAGTAGCAGTGGGGGCAAAGGGAGGCACCGCCAAGCAGCGCGCTGGAAGCCTGTTGGGCCCTGAGAAGCCACGGCCATCCTTTCTCTGGCCTGACGGCCCCTGCCTCTTGACTCCCCTGCCCCCAGTACGAGGAGCTGCAGCGGTCTGCGGGCCGCCACGGGGATGACCTCCGCACCACCAAGATGGAGATCTCCGAGCTGAACCGTGTGATGCAGAGGCTGCGCTCTGAGATTGATAACCTGAAGAAACAGGTAAAGCTGAGCTCCCAGAGGACAGTCTATCCATGTACCTGCCCGCCGGCCGACCTGGGCCTGGTCCCAATTCAGCCCATGCACAGAGAAGCCTCCCCAGATACGTGACTGGCCAGGAATGTAACTGTGCAGTCTTCCGCCACTCCAGGGACATTGGGCCCCCCTCTAGGGAAGAGTCTGTCCTCTGGGGGCATACAAGACAAAACTATCCAGAGAAGTGTGGCATTGGAAAGGACCCCCCCCCAAATCATTTTATCCATTATAGCTAAGTCTCAGATTATCCAAGGAGGACAGAGATTGCTCTCATTTTTATTTTTTATTTTAATTTTTTAATGTTTATTTATTTTTGAAAGAGAGAGATAGAGCATGAGTGGGGGAGGGGAAGAGAGAGAGAGAGAGACACAGAATCCAAAGCAGGTTCCAGGCTCTGAGCTGTCAGTACAGAGCCCAACACGGGGCTCGAACTCACAAACCACAAGATCATGATCTGAGCCAAAGTCGGATGCTCAACCGACTGAGCCACCCAGATGCCCCAATTGTTTTTAAAGATGATGAGGCTCCCACCTCCTTTGCATGAAATCCATTTCAGGAAATCCTCCCATATTTTTAACCTAAAACACACATCTTACTGCACTGTCTGTGGGCGAGCTCACAAACCCGTGTGCTCCTGGCAGTGTACCACACTCCAGAACGCAATCGCTGATGCCGAGCAGCGCGGGGAGCTGGCCCTCAAGGACGCCAAGCACAAGCTGGCCGAGCTGGAGGATGCCCTTCAAAAGGCCAAGCAGGACATGGCCCGGCAGCTGCGGGAGTACCAGGAGCTCATGAACGTCAAGCTGGCCCTGGACATCGAGATCGCCACCTACCGCAAGCTGCTGGAGGGCGAGGAGTGCAGGTGAGAGGCTCAAACAGATGCCACTAGGGCAACAAACACCACAGACACCAAGAGCCCTACAGTGTCGGCCCCAGACAGAAAGTACAAGGGCAGAAACGAGGTTAAAACGCAGCTGCTCCCCAGAGGCACCCTGCAGTCTCAGCCATTCCTATAGTTCCTTTTGGACCCACGGCAGAGGGTCAAGGAGACAGGTGTCGGGGAGAGGTGGCCCACGACTACCTAGAAGGCCATAAGCAGAGCCGTTCCAGCCCACACCCATGACAAATGACGCCACACAGTCGTTGAACCTCAGGGGCTCTGTGTTTGCCCAGAGATACCTACAATCTGACTGCCCCTTTCTAGTGAACACATGTCCTTCCCCATTTCTCTATGCACTTTCCCTTGGTCTGTCTTCTAGATTTCCCTCACGGATTCATATTAGCTAGATGAACAAAAGGCTTGCTAAGCACAGGGCCTGGCATACAGAAAGCACTCCGTGCTGACAGCTAGAAATGCAAAGAGCCCAGGGCTCATCAGCTTCTCAGCAAATTAAAATGTCTCTCTCTCTTCCCCCCTGCAACAGACTCACTGGGGAAGGTGTCGGACCTGTGAACATCTGTAAGTAAATGTCTTGGGATAATAGAAAAGTGGGAGTCAAAACAGAAAGCAATAGCATCACTACCAGGGATTTGGTGATAGATGTGGGCAGGGATGCCTTTAAGACCCTCTCAAGGGCTCTGTGAAGACCCCTTTCTCCTTTGGCCTTTCCTTTCTGGGGGGTCAAGAGAGACCTGTGGTGATACCTCACCCCCCAGGGCCTGTCCCAGGGTGGTCACGTGTCCACAGGAAGGACTCTACTGTGGTCTCAGAGGACCTGAGCTACAGGACAGGACAGACAACTCGCAGAGTGATGGCTTAGCGAGTTCTGGCAGGAAATCAAACGCGCCCAGCTAACAAGAGGCTACCAAGCTGGTTAAATGGAAGGAGGCATATCTAGAATTGAAGAAAATTCACCAAACAAGTAGAGCAGTGACTGACCCGGCTCGGCCTCGGCTCGCAGAGGGGAGAGCAGGAAGAATCATCTCACGGAATAGTCCAGCAGGATGAGGGGACATTCAGGGAGCACTGAGTCCTGGGCACGAGAATTAGAGTCTCCTTGGGCCCCGTGTGGCTCAGACCACCAAGGGAGGCCAGAAAGCCAGGCTGGGGAGAGCTCAAACCCAGCTGATAACAGGGACGGGTTTGCTTCACCTGGAGAAATGGACACACAGAGGGGAGGTCAAAGAGGCATCTTCAAATGTTTGACAGGCGGTGGGGAGCCACATCCCAAGGTAGTGAGCTCCCCATCACTGAACATATTTGAGCAGGTACTACAAACCATTGACTTTCAGTGATGTGGCATAGGTGATTCCAACTGGGGGAGGTTCATCTGGATGGCCTTTGGGCCTGTTCCAGTGGGGAGCTTAGGATCCCGCCTAGGAGAGGAGAACTCGTGCTCCATCCAATAGGAGAGGCCCATGGAGAGGAGGAAGAAGCACAGAGCAGGTGTGACCCTGGGCAGGCTGCCTGATGTCTCTGTGCCTCCGTTTTTCCTCTGTGGCACGGAGGCGATGGGAGTAATAGTGTCCTCTCGGGCACGTTGAGATCAACGTGCTCACAGCTGTGAAGGTGCTCTGAAAACTGCGCAGTCCCTCAATTGGAATGCTCAGTGTGGAGCAGTGTGTGACGGGGACAGCGAGTCCGTGCCCACCCTCTCTGACCCCTGCCCCGGGTCCGAGGAGATTCCTGTTCCCTAAGAAAGCACCGCAGGAGGGAGCCCACCTGGGCTGAGAGCCAGGGAGGGGATCTTGGGGACTCGGAGGAGAGTGCCAGCGTGCCCTGTGCCTTCTCTCCACAGCCGTGGTCTCCTCCACCGGAGGCACAGGCTACAGTGCAGGTGGCGGTGGCCTCTGTGTGGCCGGAGGCGGCTACAGCAGCAGCCTGGGCTACGGCGGGGGCGGCGGCTTTAGCTCCACCAGTGGCCGCAGCATGAGTGGCAGCAGCTCCAGCATGCGTATCATCTCCAAGACGTCATCCACCAAGAAGAGTTACAGGAGCTAAAGGGCCCCGCCAGCCTCGGCTGCCCCCTCAAGGTCCCCAATGCCCAACCCTAAGGCCTGCCGCTTTGCTGATGCTCCATGCACACAATCAACAGCCAGAGGCGAGGGGAGTGGTCTGTGAGTTCTAAGGTCACCTTGCCCATCCCTCTGTCTCAAGGAGGTACCCCCCTTGCTCCTCATCCCAGAGCCCTCCAAAGTCCCCAGGCATCCAATCCAACTAACGCTGACTCAACTGCTCTGTGCCAAGACCCAGGCTAGGACTTTGCCCGTCGGTGGCTTCCAGAGCAAGGGTGAAGAAGTAGGGTCTTCCTCTCCCCATCCGAGCCGAGTCCACTGCACCCATACTCCTTTATGGGGGAGGGGTGAGCTTAGGATTGACCTTGGTACCCCCAAAGAAGTTGAGTGTAATCTCGGCCAGAGTTCACACGTGTGTGCTCTCTCACTGCACACAGAACCATCTCCTACATGCCCCCCTCACACCAGGGAATGTTGCCAAACTGGCCGGCATATTGTGTCCTCACCTCCTGCCTTCTTGTCCCCACCCAGCCACCAGCCACTTCCCCTGACAACTCCCACCACCAGAATATTGGAATAAGAAATCAACACCACACAAAACATTACCAACTCAATTATTCATGCTAGAATAGAATAATTTTATCAAGAACCCAAAAGTTCTCCATGGCCTAGGACTATGTTCCATGATCGTTCATAGCCAAACGCCTTCCAATCAGCCTCATTGAAGCCAATATTAGAATTACTGCCCCACACAGAACCGCCCTGCTGCTGAGTGGGAGGGAGGCAGGCTCACGCCAGGCTGTGGGAAGGCAGCGAGGCAGAAGGTGCACCAGGTAAGGGAGTCCAGTTGGCCTGTGTTAGAACTGCCCTGGGAGAATCCCCCTGCAGAATAATCCTCCGGGCTCAGGAGTCTTTCTCCATCCTCTGTGGTAGCCATGTCCCTTTTCTGGAAAGTTCTCTTTCCTGCTTACTTTTCTCTTTCCACCTTCTCATCCACCCTCCCTCCTTATTCTCCTCCTCCTCCCCCACCATATGTGATTCCTCTCCCGATCCCTCCTCTCCGCCCCTTTATTTCTTTTCTCCCTCTCCCATTCATCCGTTTGGCAATAGATCTCCTGCTCCCTCCTTCCTGACCTTTCTTTCTCTATCTCCCTGTCTCTGAAATATCTACAGTGTGGATTTTCCTGTCCCCAGCCTTGGCTACAACCACAACTCTTAAGGCAATCCACCAAACCCCCTGCCCCACAGGGAAGACCTAAGAGGGCAGACACGGGAGAGGGGCAGTCCTCCCCCTGTGTCTTTCCTCGCTCTCAGAGGATGCTTGCTCGGCCTGTGAAGGAAGCAGAGGTAGGGGAACAGTGGAAGAGGGGAGCCACGTAGGCACAGAGATCTTTCCCTACTTGAGGAACTGTGAGCCTTCCCAATACCTGCCACGTATTCAAGACCAAAATGCATTCCAAAAGCAGGCAGGGACTGGCTGCCAGCTGTAGACATGAAGACAGGAGAGAAAAAAGTCACCCCGCTCTGATGGTCTCAAACCCTTCTGAACTGCCTGCTCCTCATGCCTGCCTATTTCCTAAAATCGCTTCAATAAAGTGTCACCGAGCTCTCTAGGTCTTGGTGGAGTCTGCGTCCTATCTCACATTCTGGACAACATTGGACCTGGTGTTATCCTGGAGCACTTGCCTTCCACCCACACAAATCCAGGGAAGCATCCTACTCTCTGTTCCCAAGCTCTAGTCCTGGGCTCCAGGGAACCCAATGCATCACGGCAACATACTCTGGTCTACCTAGGGATGGAGGGGGAAGGCTCTCCAGTCTGGCTTCTTGGTGTCTCCAGCACTGTCTCCTGGGCCCACCTCTGGGACTCTTACCGGAGGGTGGAATGGGAATCCCCTTTTTCTGACATCATGCAACAAGACCCACCCCACCCCACCTCTGCCTCCCACCATTGCCCACAGCCCCTTGTTATACCCCTGACATCCCCAAGCCCTGCTTGCCCTCCCCAGCACTCTAGGACCCAAAGTTAAGACTATGAAAAAAGGAACTGTGTGAAATGTCACAGTTAAACCAAAACTGTGGGGTCCCAATCTCCTAATTTACAGGTGGAACCAAGAAGTCATAAGCATATTGGCAGGAGCCTCCATTCTTTTTTTAAATGTTTATTTATTGTGAGAGAGAGAGAGCACATGTGGGGAAGAGACACAGAGAGAAGGAAAGAGAAAATCCCAAGCAGACTCCATGCTGTCAACACAGAGCCCCCATGAGGGGCTTGAACTCACAAACTGAGATCATGACCTGAACCGAAATCAAGAGTGGGACACTTAATTGACTGAGCCACCCAGGTGCCCCAGGAGACCCCCATTCTTAACCAGGCTTCTCTCCACCAGAGCAGCAGAGCATGGTGATGTCAGAAAGAATAGGATCGAATCCCAGCCTACCACAGATAAGCTGTGTGGTTTGGGGTACTTTAATTAAGTCCTTCAATCACTCGGCTCCTTACTTTCGTCATCAGTAAGGCAGAAACTGCTTCACGACGTCATCATACAATTAAATGAGATAATGGATGTAAGGCTTATGGTGGTCCCAGCACACAGGAAGCACCCAATAAGTTGCTATTATTATTATTGGCTTGATTTTGACCTGGAGAACAGCCAGTGAGGGAGGGAAAGACAGCTGGCCCCAGTGGAGGTCTCACTGATGGAACTGACAGAAAGGGAGGAAGGAAGAGATTCAGGGGGCATTTCAAACATCTCCAAAGAGCTGTGACCTGGGTGCTGGGGAGAAAGCCTGTATCCCGCATACACCTGAACAATTCCTGAGGGCAACAAATGTCCCCAGAAATGTCCTCAGGCCAGAGCAGACTCCATCTACCTCAGGGAGGCCAGGGACGGGGTGAGGAGAAAAGGCAAAAGAGTAGTGACACAATAGTATTGATCTGATGGTTGACCACAATGCGTCCTTGAGGGCCCAGAGATTCTTGGGGAGAGCATCCCTTCCTCTCCCCTCCTCAAGCACAAAGCATCTCCTCTGGAGTCCCCTGTAGGCTTTTTTTTTTTTTTTAACTAAATGGGCCCAAAGACAAGAGTCAATGTCAGGAGCCCTCGTGGCACTGAGTCGAAACCAGTACCCGCCTGGCCTGAGCCTGTTTGTGGAGGCTTCCCCCACCCCAAATCCTCCCTCCCAGAAAGCCTCTAGGATCACCTAGGAGCCCATGATGAGCCTTGCACATCAGCAGAGAAGCAGAAAAGCAGCCTTGGGGAAATAGAGCATCCCCAAGCATAGTTAATTTGGCCTCTAGTCCTGGGGCAACCGGAGGGTATAATTCATCCCCCACATATACCATGAAGTGACGTAAAGTCCCAACTCTCCCTTTCCTTGAGGCTGAGCCACCCAATATGCCCACCGTCTGGCTGGCTGGCCCCTTTCATCACCCCCATAAACGAGGAAAGGGGACACCAGCACTGCCCACTGGCTCCCTCCCTTTGCTCTCTGCTACCCTAATTATCCACCTTGGTACTTAGCTGCTGCCAACAGCCCAAGCTTATAAACCTGTTAATGGTGGTTTGGGCTTTGACCCTGCCCAGCCCTCCATCTCCCACCAAATAAAAGGGCAGAAGCTGGGCTGTCTTGGTAACTCGCATCACCCGCTCTCCGGGCCAGCCACCTCTCTGCCTCTGTCCCGCCATGTCGTGCCGTTCCTTCCAGCAGGGCTCCAGGTGTGGCAGCCGGAGCTTCAGCTCGTGCTCAGCTGTCCTTCCCCGGATGGTCACCCACTACGCAGTGAGCCAGGGGCCGTGCCGGCCCGGGGGTGGGGGGGGCCTCCGTGCCCTGGGCTGCCTGGGCTCCCGGAGTCTGTGCAACGTGGGCTTCGGGAGGCCCCGGGTCGCCTCCAGGTGTGGCCTGCCTGGCTTCGGCTACCGCACAGGGGCCGCCTGTGGGCCCTCAGCCTGCATCGCCCCCGTCACCATCAACGAGAGCCTGCTGGTCCCGCTCGAGCTGGAGATCGACCCGGCCGTGCAGAGGGTGAAGAGGGATGAGAAGGAGCAGATCAAGTGCCTGAATAGCCGCTTTGCATCCTTCATCAACAAGGTAATAGGCAGGCCCCACACTCTGGGGCTGTGGGATGCAGAGAGCACCTTGTGTCGGGTCCAGGCAGGCAGGGACAGACCGGTGATGGAGAAGCCACAGTTGATTGATTGGCTCTCGTGAACTGTATGACCGCTAATCGTTGAAAGCTGCTTACATCAGGCTCAGCACTAGACATCTCTGCCTGCTCGCTCGTTCTTTTTTCACGACGTCATTTCTCTCTCTGAATATTATCTGGTAACATCACCAAGGCTGCCTGAGGTCAGACTACAAGAGGAACTTCCAAACAATGACAGATACTGAAAAGAAAAACCAAGGAGGTAGATGAGGCTTTAACAATAGAGCCACCTTCTGGGGCACGTGGGTGGCCCAGTCGGTTAGCCATCTGACTTCGCCTTAGGGCATGATCTCCCAGTTCATGGGTTCAAGCCCCATCCTGGGCTCTGTGCTGACAGCTCCGAGCCTGGAGCCTGCTTTGGATTCTGTGTCTCACTCTCTTTCTGTCCCTCCCCTGCTCACACTCTGTGTCTCTCTCTCTCTCTCTCTCTCTCTCTCTCACACACTCTCTCTTAAAAATAAATAAACATAAAATTTACAAAAAATACAAGAGAGCTGTCCTCTGAGTGCCTGAGCTGGCACGAGACCCTTGGGCCTGGATTCACCACCAGCAAAGGCCCAGGGTGAGGAGAAGACGGAGAAGTCAGAGCTGGGAACACAGGGAGCTAGCTGTCACCAAAGCCTTGTCTCTTTCGTCCTCAAAGCCACAGCTCTAGAAGACTACAGGGAATAATGGTGTGCTGCCTTTGAAAGGCACTGAACTGACCAAGTGGAAGTTCATGCAGCTGCCTCCGTACCTGTCCGCATACCCCAGGGAGGCTCTCGGGATGAAGATACATGCCAGGGGCTGAGCCAGTGTTTCTGCTGACCCCAACGTGTAGGGCAAAGAATCCTGGGTCAGCAGTCGGGAGGCCAGGGCCCTGGTGTCGGCCCTACTCCCGCCTGACCCCGAGGCCCCGTGCAAACCTCTCACTTCCCAGCCTCAGGGCCCTTGCTGCCCAGCAGGGAAGGGGGCCGTGATGGTGGAGAATCAAAGGTGGTAATACACATAAAAGTGCTCCAAAAAGAAACTTATTTCAGTAAATGGGAACTGTTACACTTACAGTTTTATCTTTAAAGCTCCTTAGGTTCTGGGCTCTGAGCTTCAGCAACATCACTCTACCTTCTGTAGGTCCGGTGACCAGAAGTAGGGCAACATTTCTTCCTCTGCAGGTTTCTTTTGAGGATTGGATGTCGTGTGCCCTCTGCCAATGGCTAATGGGGTGGCAGTGATCAGCTCACCCAGCTCCTACTAATCTTGGTTTCCAAGCCACCGAAAGGGAGAAGCTGGGCCAGCAGACCTCCCCATTGCTGTGACAGGGACAATTTTTGGATGCAGCCACGCAGGGTGCAGCAGAGTCGGGGAAAAGAGCTTAGAGCCCTAGAACGAAGCCTTTAATCTGACCTCCCTGAGTGCCCCTGGGCTGTGACCAAAGAAAGCCTGAACTCCGAAGCATAATGTCACCAGCTGACATTAGTAGGAAGATTTCTGAAGTGCTTCTTCCCATATACAATACCAAGCAGGAAGCTTAGGGCCAGGATGTCTCGGCCAAGGTTACCAGGCTAGTGGGAGATAGGCAGGCAGGGCTGGAAGGGGGACCTGTCCCAGGCCTCTTGGGACAGTAGCCCTCCCATGACAATATGCAACCCCTGGGTGGAAGGTGGGGGGAGGGTCCCATAAGCTCCCCGAGGCAGGGGAGAGATGGAGATATGCTGCGGTGCCAGTCTACGCGGAGAGCCTCATCTGAAAATGTTAGCACACTGGCAGCAGTGTGTTGGGAGTAAGAACACACGCTGATCCCACCGCCCGTCCACCTCACCACCACCGCTTACTCTCTCCCGGCCGTGGTCCCCAGGCTCCCTGCTCTCCAGTGACAGCCTGTTCTTGGCTACAGGTGCGATTCCTGGAGCAGAAGAACAAGCTGCTGGAGACCAAGTGGAACTTCATGCAGCAACAGAGGTGCTGCCAGAGCAACATAGAGCCCATCTTCGAGAACTACATCAGTGCCCTGCGGAGGCAGCTGGACTTTGTGGCGGGGGACCGGGCCAGGCTAGAGTCAGAGCTCGGCAGCCTGCAGGACGCGCTGGAAAGCTACAAGAAAAAGTGAGTATGGCCCACTTTCGCCCTGCCGGGGGACCTGGAGCAAGCTACATAAACCACCTGGGCCTCAGTTTCCCCATCTACAAGATGAGAAGCCTAAAGCTTAGTTGATTAGGTGGAGGAACAGTGCAGTGGATAAGACAGGCAGGGCATTTAGACACGGCAGAAGCTCTGAAATGGTGTTTGCCTTCACCACCCTTCCCGCCACCTTCCCTCAGTTAGGCCCTCCTCACGTCTATGTGATACAAGCTCTTTCTCTTGCCTTCTTCCCGTGTTTCAGGGCTCTGTTCTACCACTCGTCCTGCCTTATCTTCCATCAGTCCCCATTCAGATCCGGAACTACTTCTTATTCCCCGAACAGGCCCCCAAACCCTCTTCCCTCCAAACTTTTCCTCCCGCTGTCCCTTCCCCCTGATAGGCCCCTCTCGGCATCTCTTCGGACCACATCCAAGCTAACGCAGCCCACAGTTCCTCTCGCTCCCCGACGCTCAGCTCCCGGACTTCCTGCCCAGAGCTGGAAGCCACCACCCGTCGGGGCTCCACGTCCCCAGTTCTTGTGGTCAAGGTTATGTAGACCTGCTACACTTGCCCTCCCTGAGGGCAGCTCCTGGCCTGACTCACAGGAGAAGGCAGCTGAGAAGCAGATGTTAATTAAGGGTTTGCAGGCTACTAGGTCCAATGCCCGCAAGAGGCTTGAGGCCCAGATAAACTGCCTCACGGGTCCTAGGTGGGTCTATCCAGGTCTAGGGTCCCATGGGACCACATGTTTGGGGGGGGGGTTGAGAGAGACACATTTCCATAGACAAGAGGCGGTGAAAATACACTCAGAGCAATGGTTCCTAAGGGATGTGGATCAGTGGAACGGAGCCACATGGGGGACACTTGTGCTACAAGTGTCAGTCATATGCTTACTTGGTGCCAGACACTGTGCTGAGCTGGCTCCTTCCCTCACGATACCCCAGTCCGGCACAGACCCCCATGCACCCCCACCCACAGCAACAACAGGGTACAGGGCAGAAAGAGAGAGGAATACCCAGAGAGTGAGAGAGCAGGCAGGGCCCAGGGAAGCTTCCCGGAGAAGGTGCCATTTGCTTGGGGCTTTGATGAAGTTTCATTCCAGTTGGGTCTTCCAAAAGGGGAGTCCCAAGTAGACCCTAGGGAAGGAGAAGGGACAGGAGCAGGTGACAGGAGGGCCAGAGTGTGCCAAGTGACACAGGACAACTCAAGCAGACTGTGACAGGTGGGACATGGCAAGGCCAGCCCTCTCAGCAGGAGCAGTGCCTTTCTCGGTGGGTAAGACACAAGATGGTCAGGAGACATGGTTTGCATCACAGGATGAAGACTTTGGATTGGGAAGGTGGGGAAGCATAGGAGAAGTTAAATGGTGTTAACTCACAGCAGCTCTATGAAGCCGCACAAGTGTTCCTCTCTTGCTGTACATGATGAATGCGAGGCACCAAGAGGCCAAGTCCCTTACCCCAAATCACATGACTAGCACCTGACTGAGCTGGGGCTCACACCCAGGCAGCAGGCTCCAGCTTCCGGTGGCCCTGCTAAGGCCGAGCTCTGCCACCAAAAGGAAGGATGGGCGTCAGGAAGCAACGTGAAGCTTTTAATGGATCAGTGTCGCTCATCAGACTGAGTCATTCCAGCCAGACTGAACCTAACCCTGATTCCACTGCCCAGGGGGGCACTGAGTGGGCGAGGAGCTCCCTGGGAGCCTAGAGGAAAAGGTCAGGCTGTCTCTCCAGCTCTGGTAAGTGGGTCATTGCTACCTCTGCAAATGAGCTGCAGGTAGAGGCAAGGCTCCGAACTCTCCTGGAGGGGAGGGGCCCCGGGTCGGCTGCGATTTCAGTGACTGTAGCCAACCCTCAGAACAACTCAGAGAGGACAGCAGAACCAGCAGCAGACAGCCCACTCTGCACCACCTTCCCAGAGGAAACAACTCTGGGACGAAGTGGGCTTCCTTAGCAGCAAGATAGAATGCAGGTAGCCTTAAGAAGGACTTCCCAGAAGATGACTGATCATAGGAACAGCCTACTGGGGAGCAGGGAAGGAAGTAAACATGCAAAGTGGCTAAAAAGAGGCTATGATGACAACCATCTGTCCTGAGTGGCTGGAAGAGCCAGAGGTGTCCAGTGATGGGGACTGGACCTGGCGGTTCCCTTAGGGGATTAAGCCAGTGAGAGGCAGATCTGTCCCAAAGGCCCCCTCCCTCAGGCTGGATGCCCAGGCGGCTTCCGAACGGCCCCAACAGACTAAAACATTTCTTCCTGCTCACCCACCAGGTACGAAGAGGAGCTCTCCTTGCGGCCTTGTGCTGAGAACGAGTTTGTCGCCTTGAAGAAGGTGAGGGAGGGTGGCACAGGGAGAGAGAAGGCCCCCGGAGCTGGCCCAGCCTGCCTTGCCACACTCGGCCCCTGACCGTGTCCAGACATGCCTGCAGCCCACCCACCCACCCCCAACAGGGTCTCTCATCCCTCAGCCCCCGGGGGCCATCCCCATCGACCCTGGGAAAGAGGAAGGCCAGCCCCCACCCACTTCTTACAGAAGGGCAGCGATTGACCTGGCCTCCACCTCCCAACTCATGGGGGTCCAACCCGGTTAAGGGTTGTGTCTACACCTGCCCAAGAAGCTGGAGATATGGCGAATGCCAAATCAAATGCAAAACAAGAACTCTGCCTCTAACCACAAAAGATAAAAACAATAGCAATGGTTTTTCAGACAGATGCCTAGGTACTTTATGGCCCATGCCCTGCACGGTGGGCTTTGAGAAGCTGCATTCAGGGCTCCTTCAAAATGCACTCCCTCAAATCCTTCACCCTCAGGGTGCCGGGCCCAGGCATGGGGTCCTGGGACTGGGGCCCCTCCCCCTATCCTTGGCTCTGTCACCTTTTCACTTCCACGTGGGCCTACACATGGATCCCACACTGCCACCAGCTTGCCTGGGAGGTGGCCCAGTCGGTGGAGGGGGTGGCCTTCGCATGTTCCCCCGGCCCCAGGTTATGGCTCTCACTGCTCTGGCTGCAGGACGTGGACACAGCCTTCCTGATAAAGGCTGATCTGGAGACCAACGTGGAGGCTCTGCTCCAGGAGATCGACTTCCTGAAAGGCCTGTATGAGGAGGTACCCACAGCCCCGCTGCCCGCAGGTGCTCAGTCAGGGCCAGTTCTGTGGGCAGGACAGAGTAGGGGAACTCCAGCAGGGACGGCCCCGGGCTAGCTGACTCCCAAGTAAGATGGGGAGAAATCAAGCAGACAGCTTGTGAGACCCCCAGAAGACACAGGGCCCAGACCTTGGCTCTTGGGTCTACGTAACTAGAAGGGGGACAAGGAACAGGTCGGTGATAGAAGGCTTGGGACAGCCTTTCAAAGGGCTGTGCAAATCTGCTATGGGAGGATCAGAGTTGCTTCCACCTCTCCCCCGCCCCCACCTTTATCCTCAAAACGCTCACACACTCCCATCTGGGGCCCCCACCCCCAGGAGATCTACCTGCTGCAGTCTCAGATCTCAGAGACCTCCGTCACCGTGAAGATGGACAACAGCCGGGAGCTGGATGTGGATGGCATCGTGGCCGAGATCAAGGCCCAGTATGACGACATCGCCAGCCGCAGCAAAGCCGAAGCTGAGGCCTGGTACCAGAGCCGGGTGAGGCCCGGGCAGGGCGAGGCCGGGGGGTGGGGCTGGGGGACCCCAGACCCCCTCTCCCCCAGGAAGTGAGTGAGGAGATAATGAAGGCAGAGGGAACCCCATAAACCCAGTTCCTGTTGTTCCTGCCAGGCCCCAGGCCAGGGCCCTGCAGAGCGTGTGGGAGGGGACCCCACAGACAGCCCAGGCCTGTCATCAGGGTGTCAGCGCACCCCAGCTTTACCCACCCACGGACCTACTGCAATGTTCCTCTAAGCAGCATTCAAGAAACGCTAATTGGCAATGGCTGCAAAGAGGGGCTGTGGGCACTAATGGCAGGGCAGGAGCCGTCATTAAGGTGGCCCCAGACTTAGGGAATTAGGGGCTGGCTGGGAGGGAAGGGGATGCCCCCAAGGGCAACTTGACTTCACAAATATTTTCATGTCTGTCTCACCCGCCCTGTCTGAGAAAGGCACCATGCACTCATTCACTCATTTATTCATCCAGTAACTTCCTTGCCAAGCACCGTTCTAGATGCTGGATTCCAGCAGAAAACAGAATAGACAGCAATCCCTGCCTTCATGTCACATTCATCCCAGAGGCAGGGGCGGGGTGGCAGGTGCAGACAAGAAACGAGGTGAATAAGTACAGTGGATGTACGTTAGATGGTGACGTGTGCCGTGGCGTTACTGAGGCATGTGGCACCAGGATGATGCTAAGAGTCACACCATCCCTGTCCTCAAAGAGGTTACAGAAATAGACCATCCACAGGTGACACGGGGGCTCTATGTTGCCATCAGGGACACAAGCTCCTTCTAGCTTTTTATGCTGCCACCCTTAACATGGCTTTAATCCTCACGGTTGCCTCATGTCCCAAGAAGGCTGCCGTAGTGCTAACTTCACATGTTCATTCCAAGGAGGAAAAAGCACACAGGGCAAAAGAAGCATGCTGAATGAGTCATCTCCCACTTTAAACAGCTTTCCTGGAAGTATTACCCATAGAATTCATTATGAAAGGGCCAAGAAATATTCTCTTATCTGGGCTCACTGCCACCCCAAACAAAAGGAGAGTTCTGCTTGAAGAAGAGGAGAGTGGATATTTTTTAGACAGCTGCGGGCTTTGTCACAACAGCCAAACAACAAAAGAGCCAAAGGAGAGTGATATGTGCTTATCACTTGTTTCGCCTTCTCTATGCAAAATGCTCCCATCCATTATGTGCAGAAAATCTAAAGCTGGCTGCTTTTTTAATCTATAGGTGTAGTCGATAAGACATTATTCAGAAATTGAATTCAGAGTTGCATAGGTTTAAAAAAAAAATGTTAAGCCAAAGTAGGAAGTAATATTGCATTTCGTCTTCAATTGTTTTGAAGGAGAATAGACAAAGGTACTCACCCTGGTGGTCTGTCCTCACTCCCAGATGTGTTAGGCATCCCAGGCTGAGCACAGAAACCCCTTCTCAGGTCCAGAGGGAAATCTAATAGGGAAGGAGCCCTCAGCAGACCCCCGGGGCGGGGGGAAGATGAGCCACAGAACAGCTAAAGAGAGAAAAGGAGAACTTGGAGAAGCATTTAATAAGGCTGAAGGTTCAGGGATGGGGAAGGAAATAAGGAGAAGCCCAGAAAAGGGCCAGAAATGGAAAAAGGAATGGGGGAGAGAGCAAGCATAAGAATCCAGAGAGCCCTGAGCTAGGAAACCACTGGAGAGACTCAGGACAGTGAGAAGGGGGGCTGCGAGGCGCTACAAGGTGGGCGTTGTGGTGTTCTGACCTCCCCGGTCCCAGCAGTATGAGGAGCTGCGGCTGACAGCGGGGACCCACTGTGACAATCTCCGCAACCGTAAGAACGAGATCCTGGAAATGAACAAGCTGATCCAGCGGCTTCAGCAAGAAACTGAGACCGTGAAAGCCCAGGTGAGGCCAGAAAGATCTTGTTTCGAGAACCCCATTAAAGGCTGCCCTGCCGGTTGGTCGGTGGGGGGGTGGGGGGGGTGGGTCCGCTCTCCCTGGGAGCATCTCAAAGAGGCCATGAACTTGTGCTGCCCTCGCTTAAGAAGGAACAAGCCCTTTCCACGAAAGCTGACCGACAGCAGGAACAGCCTCGGGAAACAGCGAGATCCCAGCATAGGCTAGGCAGCCTTCGGTCACAGATGAAATAGCAAGGGTGCTTCACTAGATGGGGGCTTAGAAAAGATGCTCGCCATGGCCCCTCCCTACCCAAAGGCTCCAGTCCTAGGATCCTACAATTCATGACTCCCAGGAGTCCATACACGTGGCCCCACTCCATTCTCCTAGGCTGGTGAAGACCAGCCAGACACTCCAAATCTGTTAGCCTCTAAGAATTCGCTTGGATCTCCTTGAGGTGTTATAGATGGAACTGGCCCCAGTTCTCTGGAGTTCAGCTGTCACAATCCTAAGACGAAACGCATAGCAGCTGTGAATCTGGCACATCACCATGACTGAGAAGGAAACCTCCCTCCTCCTCCTGTGTGTCCCTTTTACTGTCACATTACTCCCACATGCATGAAGTTGCTCTCACAGACAATTCAGCCACCCCAGCTGGTGCCCTAGGGCTCAGTCCCACACAACTGCCCTTGTTTCAGATGCCGATCATGAGTCCCACAGAACTCAAGAAAACAGCTTGCTTATGTTTAGCAGTTAGTATAAAAGGATATGATAAAGAATACAGATGAACATCCAGAGGGAAGAGACACACAGGGCAAGGGAGGGAGGCGGGAAGGATCCAGAGCTTCCGTGCCCCTCTCTGGGCACGTGATGTTCCCTATACCTCCTCATGTACACCAACCTGGAAGCTGGTGAACCCCGTACTTCGGGGACTTTTATGGAAGCCTCCTCTCGTAAGCATGATCCATTATTAACTGCATTTCCAGCCCCTCTCCCTTCTCCAGTGAAGGCAGGGGGGAGTGGGGCTGGAAATTCTAAGTTTCTAATCATGGCTTGGTCTTCTGGTGACCAACCCCCTATCTAGGAGCCACCCAGGACCCACCCAGAGTCACCTCATTAGAACAAAAGACATTGCTCTCATGCAGGAATTCCAAGGGACTCGGGAATTCTGTGTCAGAACCAAGGGTCAAAGACCAAGTATTAGAACAAAAGATGTTCCTAATGCTCTTATCACGTGGGAAATTGCGAGGATTTAGGAGTTTTGCACCAGGAACTGGGGCAGAGACCAATATACATATGTTTTATTATCTCACAATGGCCATGTTCTCCCTGTCCTTCTGAGAGTCAGCCTCAGGCTCCAGGGGCCCCCCGTAATGCCTTTCTGTGCCCGTTCCCCCAGCGCTGCAAGCTGGAGGCCGCGGTGACCCAGGCAGAGCAGCAGGGCGAGGCGGCCCTCAGTGACGCCAAGTGCAAGCTGGCAGGGCTGGAGGAGGCCTTGCAGAAGGCCAAGCAGGATATGGCCTGCCTGCTCAAGGAGTACCAGGAGGTGATGAACTCCAAGCTGGGCCTGGACATCGAGATCGCCACCTACAGGCGGCTGCTGGAGGGCGAGGAACACAGGTTAGTCAAGGCGAAGCACCGAGGACGACGTGTTCCCCTGCCCTCTGGTTGCTGGGGCTACGATTGCGCGTCCTGCTAGTCAGGGAACATCCGAGACAGTGCATAATCCACAGGCCCTCCTCCTTAACATTGTCCACAGTGGGGGCAGGAGAAGGGTGCCCCACATTCATTGACCTTGTTCTCTGTGATGCAGTGACCTTGTGCCTTCTTCTTTCCACTCCAGGCTGTGTGAAGGCATTGGGCCGGTGAATATCTGTGAGTAGACCAGCACTCCCGTGGGGCTCTGGGGTTGTGGGGGCCGATCAACCCAACAAGGACAGACCACTGTCCTGCCCAGACTTCAGCATGCCTCCCCCACCCCCAAGGAAGGGCTCTGTCTGCCAGGAGCTCCTGGGCGGATGGAGAAGCTCTACTTCAGGACTGTCCAAGTCTTCGGGAGTCAGAAGTAGGAGCTGATATGCAGCAGGGCCTCAGTGCTTTGGGGCCCAGACGCTGCCAGGAACCATCATGACAAGGAGACGCCTCTATGGAGGAAATAGTTCTGAAGCAGGCTCGGACAAGTAGAAACTGACAGCATGAAGTGGAGGCCAAGGCTTTGGGAAACAAGGAGAGGCAGAAGGGGGGCAGAAGGGGAAGAGGCAGAAGGCTAAGCACTTTTTATGGCTAGAGTGGGAAGTCGGTGGCTGGCACGGGGGTGTCCTTATTGGTGAGTGGCAGCAGGTGGGGGGCATGGCCTGGTCTAGGGCAACGCCCTTCCAGCCTCCCAGTGCAGGACCCTGAGCATCCCTCTCTGTTCCCACAGCCGTGAGCAGCTCCAAAGGCGCGGTCCTCTACGAGCCGTGTGTGGTCAACACACCCGTGCTGAGGACCGAATACTGCCCGGGGGGCACCAGTGTCCTCAAGAGCAGCGGGGGCTGCAGCGTCGTGGGCACTGGTGAACTCTACATCCCCTGCGAGTCCCAGGGGCTACTGGGCTGTGTGAGCGGGAGGAGTTCTGGCATGAAGCTGGGGGCTGGGTGCGGCTCCTCCCGCCACAAGTGTTAGCATTGCCCCAGAAGCTGCAAGGCCAGCGACAGGGCGCTAGCCCCCAGCCTGGATGTTGTCCACCGATCAGCTGAAGACAAGGATATTCCTAAACCCCTTCCTGTATTGACCACACGTTTCCCTCCTGTTTTCACACTGGGAGCCGCCCCTCGGGTATCACCTTTCACTTGGCTATGTGCAGACCCTGAGCTAGGCCTTGGGGGTGGACACATTAAAGTTCTGCTTTGTGGACTATCCCCTGGAAGATTCCCTACAAAGCCAGTCTCCCACCCCCTACCCCAGGAGGTTCCCCACCTCCCTTACCTCTGGCTCTCACGCACTTAAGAAAAGAGAACTTCTTTTAACCCCCAGCTAACACATGCACTATCGCAATTATCAAAAAGAGGCACCCCCAAATCTCCCATTCTGAATTCCAAAGCCAAGTGCCACCATTTCAGGATCACTCCAGACCTGTCAACGGTTCTCTCTGGTACACAGAATCAAGAGGGGGTTCTTTAGGGCAGTAGATTTACCTGCCCGTGTGTGCTAAACTCACACTATGAAAATACATTTTTTCCTGAACCGCATCGGCAGCTGATGGGCGAGGAAATGTCTAGAACAAGGGCAAGGGAACAAGGAATACTTACTAGACGGAGAGAGTCAAGACCTCTTGGCTTGACAAGAGTCAAGGACAAGCCCTTCCCCCACCTTCTGTATATAGCCCTCCCCTCCCCACCCCATCTACCTCCAGTCCTGCTCCTTCTCCCCTTAGGTCCTCTTGCTTTGGGTCTGTTATAAATGTGTTTTCCTGGCTACGGTGATGTGGGGCTGCCCAGAAACTTGGAGGCTTTGGCTCAGGGGCTGTCACAAGGGGTTGTGCTGATCCCCTCTCCCCAGAGGTCCCTAGTGCTGCATCAGGCAGTAGCATCACCCATCTAGGGAGCCACCACCTCTGCCATGAGCCTCTGGGTTTGTCTGTTCCCAATAAATGGACTGTTTACAGGTGGCAAGAATCAGGATTATTCCCCTTGCCTTGTGGGTACGAGAAGGCTGAAGGGGAACCAATGAGCAGCCTTTGGGGTCTGGGTGCTGGGAGGCTTGGGAGTAAAAACCAAGGCTATTATACAAACGGAAAAGCTACCTATGAATAATTTGCGAGTAGCCTGTGGAATAAAGGTGGATCCACACAAATCACATTTAAAACCGGCATATCCCACCCCTATAGACTGTGAGTCACTTGCCTTGTTGAAAACCATGGCCTTATGCACATAGGCTTCCTCACCACATGGTCACCTGCACACCTCCTAGAGAAAGCCTGTGGGCCCCCTATCATAGCTACACTCAGTGGCCTCCAAGCCTTGGGCTTTGTGCCCCGCCCCATCCTGGACAAGTGATGGCCTGGGGACAGCAGTGCGGATAGGCAGTAACCCACCCAGTGGGGAGGACCCCCTAGTCTCCTCTCCCTCCTAGGGAGCCCTAAGACCTGGAGCTGAGGCTTGGTGGTAGCATTTCCACCCTCTGTGGGGCCCCCAAACCCTTCCTGCTGCCTCACTCATGTCCTGTAACAATCCCCCCACCACAATCCCCTCTCCTGAGTGTTAGGGTGCAGCTCCCTTTTCCCCACAGCCCCATGCAGAGCATCTATTCTGTGCCAACCCCTGCATTAGAAGCTGGTGATACAGAGGTGACTAAGACGCTCTCTTAACCCTGGAGGGACTCTTGACCTCACCGAGGAGTCATAGATAATGAGAGACAGCGAGCATGGAAACAACAAGAAAAGACAACTAATGATCATGCCCAGAAAGGGGGTCAAGAGAGATGCTCACAGAGAAGATTGTAAGGATAGAGCCTGGGTGAAAGCGTAGGGCAGCCTATTCAAGAGAACCCGTTCATTCACTTTTTCATTCCTTCAATACACACTTAGGAATCACCTGCTAGGGGTCAGGCCACCCAGGGGTGCTGGTGACATGGTGATGAGCAAGATAGCTCCAGTCAGGGTTGACTTACTCAGCGGACAGGGTAGATACAGTTCCTAGAGCCCACAGCAGGGCCTGTAAAATGGTGCAGGCACTTTGGCAAACAGTCTGGTGGTTTCTCCAAATGGCAAATACAGACCTGCCATTCGACCCAGCAATTCCACTCCGAGGTATATACCAAGGAGCGATGAAAACACGCGTCCACACAAAAACTTATGTGTGAACACTCATAGAAGCGTTATTCACAACAACCAGAAGGTGGAAACAACCCAAACGTCCATCAATGGACAAACAGATCATCAAAATGTAGCGTATCCACACAATGGAGTATTATTTGGTCATGAAAAGGCATGAAGTACTGATCCGTGCTACCACACAGATGATCCTTGAAAACATCATAGTAAGTAAAAGAAGCCAGCCACAAAGACCACATGTTCTTTTTTTTTTTTTAATTTTTTTTTTTAACG